CTCTTCTTTCACGATATCCAGAGCAGGAGTATTTAAACAAGAGACATGAAAAACGAGGGGATCGGCGGCCAGCTCCCTTAAACTGAAACCTTTGGTCCTCTACGCTCCCTTCTGCTCTAGCAACCCGGCAAACGAAGCGCCGGGAGAAACGCTTTACGCCTAGAGAGCAAGTCCCGTCTCCAGGAAGGGAGCATGGAGGGAAGGAAGCTCTCTGCTCCAGGCATCCTGCCGACCTCCAGGGCGAGGCTTCCCCTCCTTCGCAGCCCCGGATCCCACCTGCCTCCCCCTCCCGTTGCCCTCCCCGATTTCCATCCAGCGTCAGTCTCTGCATCTGACGGAGGCGGCTGCACTCACGAAGCTCTCGCTGTGCAAGGAAAGGTGTCAGCTGGAAAAGGGGCTACCAGGCGCCTTCCGACGTTCAGCCCCCGATCCGTCCGTCCTGCGCTGGACCCAGAGACCAGGGAGAGCCCCACCTTTCAGCGGAGGCTCCCCGACTTCCATGAAGAGAGCCGGACCTGGGCAGGAGCAAGCGGGCGATGAAGAGGGTGACGCCGAGATCATCAGTCCTTCCCTGCCCTTTTTGCAAGCATCGCCGTCCCAGCCTCCGCTTCCACCGCCCGCCTTTCAGCGAACCCCGCCCCCCTCCGAAGAAGAAGAGCAGGGACGTAGACATTCCTGGAGACCGGAAAAGGAAGGTCCCCTTTCATCCTCTTCCTACTAGATCCCCTCTAGGAAGCACATATCCATCGTTCTAGCTCCTTCTTGAGGCAGGTGAGCCCTTGAGCGCACAGGAAATTGGCGGGAAGGATTTGCCGTTGCTCTCCTCAGGCGGGTAAAGGCCGAGTGAGCGGAGACCCATTTCTGCCCTCCTGCAAACCGGAGAAGGGGTTTCGGAGGGGCCGGGGGGACATTTGGGACTCTCTCGGGCTTCTTTTGATTCCCCTCGAGCAGGAGACCCGAGGGAGGCCCAGGGATCTCCAGGGATGGAGGCCGCCCTCAGCCCAGAGATCCTCCGCCGGCGCTTCCGCGGTCTGGACGGCTGCCGCCAGGAGGCCGAGGGGCCCCGGGAGCTTTGCAGCCGCCTGCACCGCCTGTGCCGCCAGTGGCTGCGGCCGGAGAGGAGCAGCAAAGGGGAGATGCTGGACCTGGTGGTGCTGGAG